ATATGTGTAAGGACTTCAACTTTCAACTATATATGTGTTTCTATGCAACACGTACAAATTTGCCTAGTTTCTAATAATAACAAGACCCTTTTGGGTTACCCTTAAGAGCTAATTTAGAAATTAAAAGACAAAAGAATTTATGAGAAAGTAGTGTATTAAATTTTCATGTTATAATAAATTAATTAGAAACTATTTTAGAATTAATTATGAATTAAAAGCGACTAATTGTTAATTAATTAAAATGTTTAATTAATTGGAACATTCCAAAAATATAGGGATGGGGGACAATTTCAAGATAAGCCCTAGGGTTTTGGAGTAGCTTTGTGATTAAGCAACTTGTCATGGACTTGAATCTTCAAGCTCACCGTGCGACACTTAGTTCTCAAACTAAGTCAGCCTAACTCGAAACTTCAACACAAGAACAAGGAAAGAAGGAAATAACTCAACAAACGAAAGCTATTTATTGCTTAAGAGAACTCAACTCGATTACAAGGTGAGGAGAAATGAAATGGGAGAGCCCTATTTATACAAAAGGCAAGAACTACTAGGAATCCAAGGGACATCTTCTAGAATGTTTCTAAAAGAAGTCTCTTCATTAGCCTTCCATGAAGCTTCTAGATATCTTCTAGAAATTTTCTAGAAAGAACTATTCTAGAGAAAAAAATAATTAGAGAAAATATATTAATATGGCGGATCGTTACATCCCCCCCCCCCCACCTATTTTTGTGACGTCCTCGTCACGTTTGCATCGCGATATCACTTGATCTCATCTTGAAATTGCCACAGTAAGTCTTCGGACTCCCAACTTGCCTCATTATCCGATAAATTCCTCCATTTGATTAAGTATTATTTGAAGTTCTGAACTCCCCCCCCCCCCTTTCCGTATAGTTCATTATGAAAGTATCTCCTCAATCTCACAGTCGAAGGACGTAACGACCATTGTTGGTGCACGCTTTGATATCCCACGTTGCAGAGCTTCTGAGTCTTCATGATACAACTTGAGCATGCTGACGTGGAAAACCGGATGAATCTTCAACTTGGGTGGGAGTTCAAGTCGATATGAAACTTTCCTTACTCTCCTGATCACTTCTAATGGTCCTTCATATCTTCGCACCAAGCCCTGATGTACTTTCCGTAATGTCTTGAATTATTATGGAAGAAGTTTCACCATGACCCGGTCTCCAACTTTGAACTCTACATGCCTTCTATTCTCATCTACCCATTTCTTCATTTTATTAGCTGCTTTGTCTAATGTCGTTCGAGCCATGTCCACTTGTTCCTATCACTCCTTTGCCGATTTGTAAGCAACAGGGCTATTTCCCTCATAAGTTGCGGCTAAAGCATTAAGGGTTAAAGGTTGTCGACTTGTGACAATCTCAAAGGGACTTTGACCCATGGCATCTCTTCTTTGCATATTATAAGAGAATTGAGCAATATCAAGAAGCCTCACCCAATCTCTTTGATTCTTACTCACATAGTGTCGCAAGTATAACTCCAGTAAAGCATTCACTCTCTCTATTTTCCCATCAGTTTGGGGATGAAAACTAGTAGACAAGTTCAATTCCATGCCCATTTGCTTGAACAACCCTGTCCAAAATCTTCTAGTGAACCAAGGGTCACGATCACTGATGATGATTTGTGGCATGCCCCAATACTTCACTATGTGCTTGAAGGATAGCTTGGTTATTTCCTTCACAGTGCAATTCTATGGAGTTGGTATGAAGGTGCCATTCTTTGAGAACCTATCCACGACAATAATAATACTCCCACATCCTTTCGAATTTGCTAGGCACATAATGTAATCCATAGATACACTCTCCCATGGGCCCTTAGGAGTAGGTAATGGCTCCAATAGTCCACCCGATTGTTTTTTCTCAATTTTGTCTTGTTGGCACACCAAGCACATCCAAACACAACCTTCAATATCATCCCTCATATGTAGCCAACAGTAAGCACACTCTACTAATGCTTCTGTCCTCTTGACTCCCAAATGTCCTGCCCAATTTGAATCATGACACTCCTTCATTATTCTTCGTCTATGGTTGCCCCATTTTTGCACAAATAACTTGTATCCTTTTGTAAAGAGTAGATATCCCTTAAGCCAAAATCTTTGCGTCTTCCTTTCTCGGTCCATAGTAATCAGGTTCTTGGCCAGAGGATCATGCTCTAGGCCTTGTTTGATTTGATCTTGCAAGACGAATCGTGCTTGGGTGATTGAAGCGAGGGTGCCTTTGTGACTTAGTGCATCGGTAATAACGTTAGCTTTCCCTGGTTTGTACTCGAGCACATAATCAAATTATGCTAAAAATTCTTGCCATCGGGCTTGTTTCGGGCCCAACTTCTTTTGTGTTTGGAAATAGCTTGTTGCAATATTATCCGTCTTGATCACGAATTTGGCACCGAGTAAATAGTGTCTCCATACTCGTAAACAATGGATGATGGCGGTCATCTCCTTTACTTGCACCGTGTAACGTTTCTCCGCCTCGTTTAATTTCCAACTCTCGTATGCGATCGGGTGTTCATCTTGCATTAAGACCCCACCTATGGCGAAGTCAGACGCACCTGTATGTAACTCGAAGAGCTTTGTGACATCCGGTACTCTTATCACAGGTTCTTGCATCGCCGCCTCTTTGAACTCTTGGAATGCTTCTTGACAACATGAAAGATCGGTAAAGGGTGCCACCCGATTGGAATATCCTTTGATAAAGCGTCGATAATAATTAACCAGACCAAGGAACGATCGAAGTTCGGTTACCTTGGTTGGTTCCTCCCAATCTCGAATGGATTTGATCTTCCCTTTGTCCATCATTAATGATCCATCTTTGACTTTGTGACCAAAAAATTCCACTTCCTGTTGTGCGAATGAGCATTTCTCTACTTTCACTTACAGTTGATTTTCTCGTAATACTTGAAATACCTTTGTCAAGTGGGAAACATGCTCCTCCAAAGAGTGGCTATATACCACGATATCATCTAAATATACCACCACAAACTTATTGAGGAATGGGTGGAATAACTTATTCGTTAGAGTAGAAAACGTGGCGGGGGCGTTGGTCAAGCCGAAAGGCATGACTAAGAACTCAAAAGATCCATACCTCATGACGCAAGTTGTTTCTGGCTCGTCCCTTCGGCAATACGAACTTGGTAATACCCTAATCACAAGTCAAGTTTAGAGAAGTAGCGTGCTTTCCCTAGTAGATCGAATAAATCGACTATAAGGGGGATTATGTATTTGTTCTTCAATGTTACCTTATTTAATGCCCAATAATCAGTGCACATTCGTAGGGATCCATCTTTCTTTCTTTGAAATAGTACCGGGGCGCCAAAAGGGGCTTTCGAGGGGCAGATATAACCAGCATCAAGTAGGTCTTTGAGTTGCTTCCGTAACTCTTCAAGTTCAGGTGGCGTCATTCGTTAGAGGGCCCTGGATATGGGCTTGGAACCTGGTTCCAACTCAATCTCATGATCTACTTCTCTCCCTGGTGGAAGCTTCTTTGGAAACTCCTTGGGCATCACATCTTGGAACTCTTTAAGGATTCATTTGATCTCTATAGGGACTTTGTTCGTTGATGACAGTCTCTCCGACTCTTTCCTTATCACCGCTAAATAACATGGCTCCTGTTTGTTGAATCCCTTCTTAAATTGCATGGTGGAGAGAGTCTTGGTGGAATTATTTGTACATTGTTTCATTGAAACCATGCAAGTGCGGACGCCATCTAGAATGCATAATGAATTAGTGAAAAGCATTGGGAAATCATATATCATATCAAAGAATTCTAGCCCAAGTACAAGTTGGAAGTCATCCATCGGTACAACGGAAAAGTTGATGACTCCCTCCCATTCTCCAATCTTTGCATCCACCTTATGTGCTACACCTACTACGGGTTTGGCGGAAGAATTCATAGCTTTGATGGAGCCACCCCCTTTACATAATTGATCCTTAACCACCTGGATTCATCTACAGAGATAAAGTTATGAGTCGCCCCACTATCAACAAGAGCCCTTGTAGGAGTGCCTTGGATGATTGCTTCCACAAAATGAAGTCCCTTCTTCTTCGACTTTGGCACCTCGGTCTTAGCTTTGATTGCATTGAGAATCCTCAATGACCCTACACAAGCTTCCTCGTCTCCTTCCTCACTTTGTATCATTGCTTGAATTTTGGCATGCTTTGGGAAGTTTTCGGAGGGCATGTGGTCCACCACATAGAAAACAACCATCAACCTTGTTGGTACGACAGACTTCTCTTCCGTCATTGAATGAGGTCCTCTGAGTATTCTCAGCCCTTTGAGAATCAAATCTTGGCACTTCATTCCTAGATTGCATCGATCTCTCTCCCCCGTTCTTCTCAAAGTTCGCTCTTTGAGGGTCTCGTGATTTTGAAGGTTCCCTTTGGCCAAAGTCGACCAATTCTTCAACTTCCATAATTGTAGTTGCGAGGTCTTTTACTCCTCGTCTCTTTAACTCTGTCTTGGCCCACCCTTTTAGCCTATTAAAGAAGTAGACAAAAGCATCATCATCCAAGAGATCAGGTACTTAACAGTGAGGGTGGTGAATTCTTTCACGTAGTCATGAATAGTCCCCGTTTAATGAAGTTTCCGAAGGAGAATCTTGGCTTCCATCATTGCATTCTCCGGGTAGAATTGTTTCTTGAGTTCACGAATAAAATCATCCCAAGTGTTCATGACACACGTACCTCGTTCGATATCAGCATGCCTATGCCGCCACCATAGTGTCGTCGTGTCCTTCAAATACCTTGTAGCAGGCTTGATCTTCATATCATCATCCGTTATGTTTACTACTTCGAAATGTTGCTCTATTTCCCACATAAAGTCATCAAACACCCTTGCTTCTCCCTTTCCCATGAACATTGAAGGCTTTGGAACTTCAACTTTTTGAGTGTAGATGTTAGTGCCTCCTACTCCACTAACTACCGACCGCTTGCAAAAGGCCCAATCCGCACGCACATCCTCTACACGTTGAGTCAAGATAGAGAGCTCAACTTACACTTGTTCATGTAATTTAGCCACCTCACCTAGGAGCATCTCTTGTAAGCCACACATCTCCAAACGTAAGTCCCCACCAAGTTTGTTGATCGCCCCTTTCACATTGTCTTGCATTACTTCATTATCCGATGTCATCACCCCCACTTGTTGATGTACATATTCAACTCGATCGTGCAACATATCTAAGGAATTCTCCACTTCGGAAATTGTCTTATCGAAGGATCCCCACATATCCTTGGACTTACCACATCCCTTGCTTGCACCATGACGAATCTCCTCTCGTCCTCGATTATCTTCATTCACCATGATACTTGCATCTCCAACAACATTATACTCCATTTCATTCGCCGTACCTTCCTTCAATTGCTAGACTCTAATACCACTTGTCACAGACTTGAATCTTCAAGCTCACCGTGCGACACTTAGTTATCAAACTAAGTCAGCCTAACTCGAAACTTCAACACAAGAACAAGGAAAGAAGGAAATAACTCAACACACAAAAGCTCTTTATTTCTCAAGAGAACTCAACTCGATTACAAGATAAGGAGAAATGAAATGGGAGAGCCCTATTTATATAAGAGGCAAGAATTACTAGGAATCCTAGGGACATCCTTTAGAATGTTTCTAGAAGATGTCTCTTCATGAGCCTTCCATGGAGCTTTTAGATATCTTCTAGAATTTTTCTAGAAAGGACTATTCTAGAGACAAAAATAGTTGGAGAAAATATCTAAATAAGGTGGGTTGTTACAAACTAGAAGCCTATAAATAGGGAGCTAGGGCTCAAACCCTAGATGCTCCTTCGTACTCCTAAATTTCATGAAACCGTGAAACCACTTTTTCTAATATTTTAAAACAATATAGTTAACACATTGCACTAGTACAAAAATAATTTATGGGCACACCAAAAAATTGTGACCATATGCCTATAGTCACACTTTTTTTTCATCGGAAGTGTCACCGAAGGTCATGCCATTTTAGGCAACATACGACCACTCTAAAACTTAGTGGCTGTATAATACAAAAAATTATAACCGTAGCATAAAAGTGTGGCTATTGGGTACCAATATTTCTTGGCATAATCAAGCATTACGTCCATTAAATGTGACCATAAACGCTTTCAAGACACACAATCGTTTTTTATAGTGACTACTGTTTATCGAACGGCCACATGGGTTTACTATTAGTATGGCATTTAGTATTATTTAGTCACAAAAATGATTGTTTATTGAGTCTTTAGTCACATCGATTTAAGAAAACTATGACAAAATTGTTGTTTTAATTAGATATCCTGTCTAATAAATGTTGCTATAAACTACTTCTTGACAAACATGTATTTTTTGACATCGATTTAAGAAAACTATGGCAAAATTGTTGTTTTAATTAGACATCCTGTCTAATAAATGTTGCTATAAACTACTTCTTGACAAACATGTATTTTTTGACAGTGACTATTGTTCATTCAACGACCACATAAATATTTTTTCACTGTGTCATTTGCTATTATTTAGCCACACAAACTATTATTTTGTGAGATTTTAGACACATCTATTTAAGAAAAGCATGGCCAAAAGTGTTTTACAGACATACAATTGCTTTTTTTTAAATATTTTATCCATTAAATTATAGCGACATTAATACTTTTAAGAATAACTCTTACCATCATTCAAGACATAAATATATTTGTAAGGGTGACTATTATATATATTTCGATATAGAAAATCAATTAAACAATGATAATAATTGTCTTACAAACATACACACATGCTCTCATTGTGGCCATTATTCACTTCACGGCCCAAATAACTTGTTTTCGTTGTGGCCTATGTTATCATTTGGACATACAAATATTGTTGTGTGTGACTATTGTTTATATATTAGACACCTACATTATATATAAATACATTATATATAAACTGTAGTTGTAATTGTGGTATATTTATATAATGTTCTTTTCTTAAATGTGACTATTATAGAACATATAGTCACATGAAAATTACTAACCTGGCTTTATTTTATCGTTATAGTCATACAATTTATTTTCATCATTGTTATTGTTGTCTATTTGGCCACACGAACTATTGTTAACCATAATGTTTATTATCCTTCAGATACACAAAATTTTTTCAAAATGGCTAATGATTGTAACTTACACATCTTTAGTCAATTAAACCATAACAATAAGTGTTCTATAGACATGTCAATTAATTATAAGTGTGACCATTGTTTAACCTTTAGTCGCATTAACTTATTTTGCACATGACATTTGAAAAAATCAAAATGACCATTGTTTATTTTTCTAATTGTTAAAACTATATTCAATTAATAATTATAGCAACCTTTTTTTTTTATTATGGTTTGGCTAATGTTTATTTAAAGTCACATGAAGTTTTTTGTAATTTTGGTTGTATATAAAAGAAAAATAAAACAATAAACATAATAAAACCTAAAAAAAATGATATTAATAATAATAAAAATCAATACATAATTTTTAAATTTAAATACTAAAGAAACAAACTTATAATAAAAAAATATATAAAAAACCTACGGAGGGAAACGATTGTAGACATAAACTAAGAACTATATCTTCGACCTTTTTATCTTGTTCATCTTGCTCATTGTCTGCTTCATCATGCCATCTATCATTGTTCTCGTATAATTGGTTAGGTTTTTGCAATAAATCGCCTTAATAGGAAAAAAAATCAAAAGTTCAATGCTATGATATAACAAAGTACAACTAAGATGCTATAATAATATATATATATGTATGGAAGTACCGGTTAAAACAATGGGGAACATCAAACTTGTTTTCCAAAGGCCAAAAATTGGTACAAATCGTCACCATCCTCGGTATACCTTCTGTCGGCAGATTCACGTTCTACTATTTCCTTTAGTCTTTCCCTCTACATTCTGTAAACTCTCTCTAATTTCTTCAAGAACTGATATTTCAAACACGATTGTTTCTTAGCTTTATCAATCTTCACAATAAAAACAACCCAATTCAAATATGACTTCCAATGTGATAATTAACATAAAAAGGTAAAATAAACATCAATATGTATAACACTTATAATCATTCTAATTTTCTGAATCAAAAGACCTTGGCACAGAAACTTGAGGAATTAGCTAGAGATAGCGGAAAATGGAAGGTAAACATTACCACTTGATTTGTATAGATCATGTTTTTGTCACTATTTTTAGCTTCAAATGACAAAAAACAATTCAAACCTGAACGAAAAAAGCTAATTAGGAAAATGGAACCAAAATTTGAATTACAAAAAAGCTCAGAGAGAATCCAATCAAGACCTGAAAGTTCAAAGACAATACTTCGCCCACCATTGACCTTTCATTTATTTGTTTTCAACAATTTATAGCACCATACTTTTATTTATTCCTATTGCAATGTTGCAATAGATTTGACATGCATTGGATTATCAAAACATCAAGATTACGTGTACACATTTTGAAAATAAATTGGTTCAAAAAATTAAAACATAAAAAGAGTACCATAATGGACACCAAAAGTAAGATGCTACAACAAAAAATCATTAAAACTACATTTGCTTATTCATGCATTTTACCCAAAGAGCAACTTTCAGAATTTCAAGAAATCTACATAGATATATTTTGCATTTGTTGCCCAAGTAAGGCATTCACTTTAAAGGTTGTTCCGAAGTTGTAGCACTGACGGTTTTCCGCTTTGAGCTGTGTACATAAGCCTGAAAAATAACAAAGTAGAATTAGTAATGAAATAAAAATCTATTTATTTTTTATTTCTTTATACTTTCAATCTATTTATTTAATTTTAATGTAATAAATATTTATCTTTCAAAGTTTACTGCCATTTTAAAAGCTAACATCTACATCTTCTGAAGAGGCTAATATATTTTCAAGGAATCCATTATTGCCACAAAAATTTCAAGCGTTTAAATTAACAATGGAAAAATACCACATATGCATTCTTTATTGTTTAAATTTAATAATTTATAGTAATATTTCACACGACAATCTTCTTTTCATTATCGTTGGTTTGGAATTTCGATTCACTTACGTTTCCATAACAGGTTTGAAAAGATGAATCATTTGAATTTCCATGATAGACAAGGTTAAGTCGTCCTAGTAAAGTTCACTTGGTTAGGAAGCCCAATGCATGATTGAAAGAGTCAGCTTAGGGGATTAGGTATTGAAAACAACATTCGTACGTAGAAAAGCCATAAGAACAACAATATTTTTACTCTTCAAGATAAGAAAATAGGTCACAATATTTTCTCTTTAGTGTGACGTATAATTACTTTTCTTAAACTCGTATGCTCGAGTATTTTTAAGAGATGGAGAGCTTTACCCTATGGTTTTTGTTCAATTTCTCCATCGTTTGCATCCACTGAATATGAGAATTTCATGAGATTTAGAAAAAGGAATGTAAATAACCTAAAGATACGTTATCAATATAGACCACTGATGACTGATGACTGATGAGCAATGTTTTAACAATTACATTGAGTTTACACTTTCATAATAACCAATAAAAGAATATACACCTTTAATTCATGTATTTTCATGGAAATGAATAAACAGAGTCAGGGTCGGTCCTGAAAAATAAAATATTCTTAAAGATCCAGGACGAACAAGAAAAAAAGACCCTTATCTTTATTATAATTTTGTATTTTTAAATAAAAATATATAATCAAAAAAATTAGGCCCTGTGCAGCTGCCCACTTTGCCCTCCTTATAAGTCCTCTCGCATTAAAAGAGGCATGTATGACACTCTTGGTGTATCGAAGTATAATCAATTTACAACTTCAGATCAAGAACCACCATTCAAACAACCATCCAACAAAGGATTCGGAAATTTAACACTAGCACCAGAACTAATACTACTTACCAGCGACGACATTAGATAACCAAATTTAACACTAGCACTAGAACAATGCAATTTCAGCCAATAAAAATATTTAAAAAATTAATTAGGGTGTTCATATTGCGATATGGGGTGTCTTTTTAGCCAACCCCTATTTAAAATGATAATCTATGCAAATAATAAACGGAAAAAAGGCTGGGGAAATAATGAGGTCTTCCGTAGCATACTGAATCGAGGTTGTCCTCCCCCAAATTGAGCAAACAGTATGTGTTGGTGTCCTCCAAATCGATCCACATGGTGGCTAGTAGATGGTGGTGTAATCGTGCGACGGAGATAAAAAGAAGAAAAAGGGTTTCTAGGATGTGGCGGGTTTGTGAACATGAAAAAGTGTTTAAAAGTTTTGGGGAAACGAGAGGGAGATTTTTTTTTTTTTTTTTAATTTTGGAGGGTGAGTTCATAACAAACTATTTATTTAAAATTGAAA